AGGACCCCAGGGCTGGGGAGAAGGCCATGATTTTTCCTCCCCTACAGTCTGCTGCAGCAGGATTATGCTTTAATGGCACAACTGAGACTCACTTTGAACAGGACAGCGCTGATGATAGTGGTTGGGGAGAAGGCAGCTTTGAACAGCTTTTATTGGTCAACATTTGTTCATTTTAAAATTGCACAAATTCACTGGAAGAGTGGCTCTGAAATGAGTTAAGGAAAGACAGGAGCACAGTATTATGCAAAATAGCTCACTGAAAAATTGGATGGAGAGGGAAGACCTTTTTTATTTAAAAAAGAAGTGATGCAGTGGGGTTTGATTATTTGAGTGCCACTGAATTCTGTGTGTCTGATTTATGGCCCAAACCTGAGGCCTTTACATGTGTAGTCCTACTGGCCTCAATAGCGCTACTCATGAAAGCAAGGGCTCCTGGGTAAGGCTCTGACACAGACAATACAACAAGTCACAGATTACAGATACAGGATTGAGGTTGGAAAGAAAACATTTGCCCAACAATCTTGAGAGGTTGTTCACTGATTTATGCACATGGACAAATACTCTGTATGATGTGGTACTGATTTGATACATACATTAGTCGACGATCCTGTCTCTGCCATGTGCATGTTTGTCAGACTCTCCTCTGCTTCCAAGAAAAATTGCTACAATTATTTTAAAGATCAGGTTTTTTTTTTTAAAAAAAAAGCATGTGGATAAATTGTTGATTAAAATTCAACTGAGATATAAAATTAAGTCCTGTGACATGAAAAGCTTTTGTGGTTTTCTGTTTCTAAAACCTTTGGAGTCTGGATGGGGAGGGTGGATTTTAATTCAGTTCTTCCAGTGAAAAAGCAGTTTAGCAACAGGGCAGGAGAGATTTGTCTTTGACTGTTGTGACTCAGTGAAGGGGGAAACTGTAACTATTTTGTTCAGGTGAAGGACTAACTCCCTGAACCTACAAACACCCGATCACTTGCTTAATGTTATTCATATAAGTAATCCCATTGAACGCATCTGAACCTTCTTGTGACTAAAGCTATGTGCATGCTTCAATGTTTGTGGGATTGAGGCCTATGGGAACAACTCTTAAAAACTCATTTCTGCCATGTTGCCTATGAGAAGGTTATATATAAAAGCAAATCTAAATTAGCAGAACCATCAAGACTTGCACATCCAGTTCAAAGTCCCTTGAAATCAACGGAAGTCCTTCTGGTGGATTTGAAAACACTAATAATCAATAATACTGTGGCTTTCCATCTCATGGCCACAGAGTGGCCACTCCACAGCTGTCTGTGCTGGAATCCCGATTTAAATGGGGTCCCAGGATAGGAGCATGAACTATTACAGATGGAAGATCAGGAGACTGGATGAGAGAATCTCATGGTTCCTCCCCCCCTTAATGCCCTTCTACTTGTTTTCCCAGGGTTCCAAACATCAAATGGATGTGTTTGCTTTTAAAGATGTTTCAGGTGAGTTTTATAATTACAAATTTGCCCAGAAGATGATATGCATGACCTTGAAATGAACTCTTTACAACCTGCTATCACCAGCCTCTCATACGATGGGGACACCAGGAATATACATTAAAGAAAGAGAACACAAGGCAGTATTCTTGGGGACCAACTCTGCCTCAGTGACCTCCCTACAATCCCAGTGACGTGGCTGAGGGTGGATTTGGGACTTCCACGTTCAAGCCTGTGAGGTCAGAGGGTCCCAGAGCTGAAGCTACAGCCTGAGCCCAGAAGTCTACACTGCAATGAAAGAGCCCTGCAGCCCAAGCCCTAAAGCAGCTGGTATAGGCCAGCCACAGGTGTCTAATTGCAATGTAGATATACTCTCAAGTGACTGTCAAGGAGCTGGGGTCACACATGGCTCCCCACTTAGAAGCCGGGGGCAAAAGGCATTCCTTACCTCTCTCTCAACAGGGCAGTGGGAGAGCCTGTAGTAAGCCAGAGGCAGCTTTGTCGTGGGGGAACCTAGCTCAACAATGGGAAGGAGCCAGGTGGTTGTTGGCGTGAACCTAGGGGAAACACTATAGCATGGCTGTTACCCTTTAGCTCTGCTTCTTCCCATACCCACCTTTGAGGCAGGTGTAACTCTGTCTCCTTACCCCTCAGTGCTTCCTGGAGGCTGGGGAGCAGCGAGGTTGCTTGCTCGGCAGGTGCATAGAAAGATTTATTGCAGCACAAGTCCTCCTGTTTCCCAGAGCCCAGAGGAGTATGCGGCCTTCAGCCTGGACTCTACAAATGCATCAGTGACCCTCATGTGTGTGTCACAGGAGATGGCACTTGACATGTCTGCAGACAGCTGCTTCTGTGCTGCTGGGGCACAGAGAGGGAGCATCCAGGTGCTGTCTGGCTCCTAAGTTGCTCTGAGGAAGTGCTGGGCTCTGGGACAGAGCTGTGCAGGTTTGGAGGCATGTCTCTCCTGCCCAGTCCACAGTATCCTGATGTGCTCCCCAACAAGGGCTCTGTCAACAGGCAACTCTGCAAGGGGAACCTCATACCACTCTATGACCCTATGTACTGAATGCCTCCCTGGAGGCTCATCCTGAGGCATTTGTTCAGTTCAGCTCAAGTTGTAGAATTAGGTGCTTAGAGATTGAACCTGATAGGTCATTTTAGGAGCATGAACTATTACATTTAGAAATCCCCCGCCCCCCTGCCGCAAATTATACAAGGACATTGTAAAGTTCAGAGCGATTTTAAAGAGACACATTTTTAACACTTTATTGAGCAGGGAGCAATATTTAGTTCCTTTTTATTTCCCATGAACTAGCTGCTAAACTGCTTTTTCTCAGCGCTGTGGCCAGCCATCTTAGCGAGTTTCCCATTGTCTCTCTCCTGGCTGTGGATGCTTGAGTGCAGCAGCTCCACAGAGGTCCCAGCCTCGCTCTTTAACGTACATTCGCCACTTGTCTGGATGGAGCTGCATGTACCATTGAGTAGCCTCATGAAAACATCTCAGTTCTCTGTCTATGGACACAGGCACCAGCAACCGATTCCCCAAGCCAAAGTCCCCTTCGCAATCAAGGGTCACTTAGCCTACGTTGTCCGGAGTGCAGGGTTTGGCCCATGGTGACGGCTGGCACTGCACCTGCTGCACAGCCACATGGTGACTCCTGTGACTCCTCTAGCCCATCACCACATGGCTCTTTTGCATTCTGCTAAGTGGCCAACGATCTAGGAGAACAGAAACCCTTTGTTAGAGATGGAAAAATCTCCTCAATGCAACACTCTATCAATGGCTGCTGGAGGCCTTCCCTGTGAAACCCAACTGTGCAGCCCCTAGGATTCCCATAGGGGAGATCTCTGCTCATGCACTTGTCACCCATGGAAACACTCTCTGACAGTGGGAGTGTAGAGGGAGTCTCTACAGATGATCCCTTCTATAGCTCCCTTAACGGAAGACAGTTTGGCCTTGTGATGTAAGGCACAGGTCTGAGAGTCGGGGCTCCTGGGTTCTGTGGCGCTGGAAGGGTGCGTGGTCTAATGGGTGGAGCTGGATTGGTACTGAGTACCGGGACTGGCTTCTGCTTCTGTTATTGATGTTGTGTATGACCTTGCAGCCAGTCACTTTGCAGCTAATAGCAACCAACCTCAGAGGGCCGGGGAGGGGTCATGAGTTAGTGTCTCCTCACTCTAGCACCTTCCACCCAAGCCTCCCAAAGGTATTAGGTTTAGACTACCCCTCTCTCCAAAGCTAACTACTTGTGCATCTCCACTGCCAGTGGAATTTCACACACAGGGTACAGTCCAGCCCACAAGGTTCTGTCTGGGTAAAAGAGCACCCATTCAGATGAGGCCTATTCCTGCAGACCTCGCTCACACAGAACTGCCACTGAACACTGTCACAACAGTGAATAAGGTCAGCAGTATCTAGCCCTGGTAGCACAAATTCAGCCCCAGACAAATACACTTCTCCAGGGTACAGCAACAGCAGGGGCTGCAAACAATTTCAGATCCCTGCAGTCTGGAGAGAACGGACAGGTTCCTCAGTGCAGAACACCATGGCCCAGACCACAGGGGCAGCCATCTGGTCTCTGACATCAGGACTCTAGTGACAGAACACAAGCCTTGTTAGTCAGAGCTCTGTGCATTGGAGGGTTTTTGCAACCCCCATGCCCTTACGTGGAGCAGCCATTTCTAAGCGACTGCTTTCCAAATGCGTCAGACAGATTCTCCAACAGGCCACCAGCCTTGGTTGACACTGACCTGAGAAAGCTCCCACAAAATTCTCAGTTTTCTGCTCCAGGACAGGCAGCGGCAGCACTGGTGGTTGTTCAGGTAGGTCATTAATTTACAGACGGTTGCACTGAGTGTGGTCCAAGCACAGGATTTAGAATCAGAACAGAGTCGCAATCAGCCTCCTTTCTAGGTCTCAGGGAACTCTTCACCACTTCATCTCTGTTCCTCGCTCTGTTAAAATAGGGCCGATCTCTTTGACAGTGTATCCAAGCTTTTCCGACTGACAAGACCCCAGATCACGTTCTGGTGACTTCCCCTCCCCCCTGCCAGCCATCCAAACTGCAGCTGCTGAGATGAACTTCCTCTCCTGGTGCTGTCTTCCCCACTTTCCCAAGTCAGGCTCTGGCTGCCCTTTTTCCATGTCCAGCTCAGACTTCTCCTCCTCACCTCTTAAGCTCCCTATCCAAACATCTCCCTGTGTAAACATCTCCACCTCAGTCATCCCCATCCCATCTTACTGCCACTTCTTCCTGCAGCATCTCCCTGCTACTGGGAAGGGCCCAGCAACCTCAGCTTAGGCTTCCCTTTCTATTCATTCCATCAGACTCACCCGATAGCTCTCTTAGACTCCTAGAGTGATCCCTTTAGTTTGAGTGAGAGGGGCTTGTGCTGAAGGACCCAGGTTCAATCCCCACCAATGCCCGTCGTGTCTACAGTTTTACTTACCTATCAATGTAGGTTGTTCAGCCCATTCCTGGTCATGTGTGGTACATCTGCTGCTGGCCATCTCTGTGATGTAGGTCCCTTATCCACACAAGGACATGGCATATCAAGGCCAATCCAGCAGCTCCCATCCGCTTTTCACCTCCACAATGGACAGTGAGCCCTAGCCTGACTACAGAAAAACAGGGTGGTGTTCTTCATTGGAATCTGCTGAAGCTCCAGTCTCCCCTGCTCCACCCCACCCCCACATGCTAAGGGTTTTCAAAAGATACCACTAATCTCAGATAAATAAAGCATCTAAGATGAGGTCAGTGTGGGTGGATTTACTGAGCAGGCATGTTCTAAGAGAAGAAGAGATTCCTTCTCTGCTCTAGTGAGATTCCCATAGAAAAAGTATCTGCTGGTGGGGGTGGGGGCACTGGTGACATTGTAAGAAAGACAGTGACCTCTACCTGTGAAGGTGGCTGAAGCTTCTTGCAGGCAATAGAGTCCAGGATCCTTACACCTCCTTTGGGGATGATTTTCCTAGGAATAAAATCAACACAGCACAATGAGAACAACGTCTCAGTCCCAGGGCTGGGACCCAGGGATAAGGGTTGCTCTCAGCCAGACTATGTACCAGGAACCTGATCTTTGTCCCAAACGCCACAATCAGCCAGATGAGTGAGTGGTTCCTACCTCCATGAGGGGTGTGTGGTTTTCCATCTAAGCATCACTGAGAGCCAGCACTTCTCGGTTTGACAGGATGAGGTCATTGCCCCACAAGCTGGGCCAGCTGCAGACTACATTGATGTAGGAGGCAAGGCCAGATCCCAGAGCCTGGAAGACAGAGAGGGGAGGAAGCCCCTGCTCATTTCCTGTTCAGAGACCCCATCGAAGAAGGGCCAAGAGGGGAGGGGAGAAGGAAGGGCAGGAAGTGAAGCTGCCCCTGTGGGGAAGGCACTAGAGTAGAAGCCAGTCCAGTGCCCAGATCTACCCCATGTTTGTAGGTGTGACCTTGGAGAGGTCACTTTATTGCTTTCATTCCTGTCTGTAAAATGGGGGTAGTAGGTTCCTCCCCTCCCCAGGAGGTGAGGAGAGGACAGTCCCATTGTCTGCATGGGGCTTGGACACTCTGGGGATGGATTGTGCCACAGGGGAAGGGACCTAGAATTTTCTCTACTATAACCAGGGGAGGAGGATGGCATCCGAAGGTCAAAGAAGGGGGATGGGGCAGGAACTGCTGCCACACACGGGGCTTAGGAATTCAGTCAATGCCAAGGGCTCGGTACCTCCCTTCATCAAATAGTTTCCTTACTGAAAAGACTGACCCCTCCTGTCATTGGCAATCTGCATACTATTTGAAGTCCATCCTAGTGTCCTCAAGGTGCCCACGTAGTTCTTGAATGTGATGGATTCATTGAACCAAGTCGATAGCTGTGAAGTTCAGAGAGGCAATTGGTAGTGTGGGATGAAATGAGGGGGAACTGTATAGCTAGCAAAAAAAAGGTGTCGTTGGCATTTTGGTTTGCAAATTTGGAGCTGATCTGTCCTCTCACCGAGGGTATAAGGACACAGGGGAAGAAGAGTGCCATCTTGGTCAGTTGTTCTATGATAGTCAGTTCCACCATGTGGCCATTTCATTCAGGGAGTTCTGCAATGAAATCCATGGCACTGGCTGCCCATGGCTGGGGCAAAGACATGAGGTGCCAAGATATTTGGTGTGTGGTGCCTTGGTGCAAGTGCAGAAGTCACATGAGTCAATATCAGTCTGAATTTCAGCCCACATCCGGCACCACCAAACGAAGCAGGAGGTTTTGAGGCACCCAAAGTACCGTGCCAGGGAGTTGCCCTGGTTCGGATGTAGTACCTTCAACCGGGGACATCCTCGCAGTACAGGCGGCCCTTAGTAAATGTTATCGCGTCCCACATGGAATGTTGTTTCTCATTCTTGGCTCCTGATTGTTCAGAGATGTCCCCATTCTCTGGCCAGCGGGTCATCCCAGGAGGCTGATTAAATTAGCATGAGTAGAGCGTGAGGTATGGTAGTGTTAAGCACGTTTCGGGGCTTGAGGAGGAAGGGCTGGTCCAGACTAGCTTTCTCCCTTCTTGGTTATATTCTGCATTAGATGACAGGGCGTCAGCCTGGCCATTCTTAGTTCCATGTGGGCAGTTAAGTAATCTTGAAATTGAAGCAAGAGAAGAATAAGGTCTAGCTGAATTGTCCCTGATTCAGTGCTTTGGCTTTGCGCAGATACTGGAGGCTTTTGTGATCAGTACAAACGTGTGCTGTGTATCGAGGCCCCTTCAGCTACTGACACCAGTCTTCAAATGAGGATTTAATGAGAACCCGCTAATTATCAAGGATCTCCTAGATTTGGTCAGTGGGGTCCAGGAGCGGTATGCACAGGGGTGCACCAGGTGCTGAGGGCCATACCTCAGAGAGCATGGCCCTGATTGTCAAATTAGATGTGTCAACTTCCTTGATGAATCCTGTTCATTCTAGGAAGCAAGCCGGCTAGACAGTACAACATCAGAGGCTGCTGCCAATTCTACACTCAGTGTTTCCAAAATTAGTAGACTTTATGGCCAGAAGAGCCCTTTAGAGCATCTCATCTAACCCCCTGCATATCATAGGCTTCCTGTGTAGTACAATAGTTACTTTTTGGGCACACATTCCAGAAGGGCATCTAGTCTTCATTCAATGATATCAAGAGATGGAGAATCCACCACTTTCCCTTTTAGTGAGTGCCAGGGGGCTCCATTTCCCCTTCCATTTACAGTGAGCCGGAGCAGTACCTGCAGCAGGGAGCGGGAGTTGCTCATGGCCTCAGAGGCACAGCCCCTGCA